TAGAGTGATCTTTTCCAATCCTCTGGCCACTGTTGAGTTTTCCAAACTTGCTGGCATATTGAATGTAGCACCTTAACAGCGTCATCTTTTAAGATTTTAAATAGTTCAACTGGAATGCCATAACCTCCACTGGCCTTGTTGTTAGCCAGGCTTTCTAAGGCCCACTTGACTTCATTCTCCAGGATGTCTGGCTCAAGGTCAGCAACCACATTATCTGGGTTGTCTGGGATATCCAAATTCTTCTGTGTATTCTTGATGTCTTCTGTTTCTGTTAGGTCCCTACCATTTTTGTCCTTTATCATGTCAATCTTTGCACAAAATGTTCCTCTAATATCTCCAATTTTCTTGAACAGGTCTCTGGTTTTCCCCTTTCTATTATTTTCCTCTATTTCTTTGCACTGTTTATTTAAGAAGGCCCTCTTGTCTCTCCTTGCTATTCTTTGGAACTCTGCATTCAATTTTCTGTAACTTTCCCTATCTCCCTTGCATTTTGTTTCCCTTCTGTCTGCTATTTGTAAGGCCTCGTTGGACAGCCACTTTGCTTTCTTGCATTTCCTTTTCTTTGGGATGGTTTTTGTTGCTGCCTCCTGGATAATGTTATGAGCCTCAATCCATAGTTCTTCAGGCACTCTGTCCACCAAATCTATTTCCTTAAATCTGTTCTTCACTTCCACTGTGTATTCATAAGGGATTTGGTTTAGATTATCCCTGAGTGTCCTTTCGGCTTTGGCCCAACCACTTCATTAGCTCTGGAGCTACTTGTACTTGTCCTCCGCACTTCCTCAGTAGTATTTTGGACGCCTTCCAACCTGAGGGTCCCATCTTCCAGCGTCATGTCTTTTAGCATTTTGTTTCTGATCATGGGCATTTTTGGCAAATATACTGGAGTGGCATTGCCAATTCCTACTCCAGGTGGATCGCGTTTAGTCCAAACTCTCCAGTATGACCTGTCCGTCTTGGGTGTCCCTGCATGGCATAGCCCATAGCTTCTCTGAGTTACTCAAGCCCCTTCACCAGGACAAGGCAACAATCCGTGAAGGGGTACTGCCTTCTTTGGCAGTGGCACTCTAATCCAGGGAGGAGCCCTGCCAGCCTTTCCCCACCTCCTCAGGCAGCCAACCATCCTGGAGAAGCAGGACATTGAGTCTCTCTGCATATCTGATGAGTGGTTCGTTGCCTGGGGAGGCGCGAAAAGGCTGGCTGAGCTCCTGCCTGGATTGGAGCATCACTGCCAAAGAAGGACCCCATCAGTATGCGTAGCCCAGTAAGTGGACCAGCTGGCCTGCAAGGAGGGAGATAGAACTCAACACCATCTGTGATGCCATCTTTATGCTTTGTATGAAGCTGTACGAAGCACAAAGCACCCATCTCTAGTTATTGTTAGGCCACTTTACAAAAATGGAGAGGAGGGTGCAAATGTCCACAAGGTGAAAGTAGTAAAATGATTTAGACTTACCTTTGTAGCAGAGGAAGAACTGTCTAGACATATAGTTCTACAATAAAATGGGTAGAAGTTAAAAACAAACTATTAACCTTTATTAAGAAAGTTATATTCAGGGTAGACCTATTTAAACCCTAAGCCTAATTACAGTAGATAGACCAGAGGGCACATAGAAGAGCAACATCATAGCTGCTCCTTAGGGGATCAGGAAAGAAAGGAAATGAGACTGATGGTCAGACCCTGAAATTGTCAGTCTAATAAACAGATACAGAAAGAAGTAGAAGTCAAGAGAGTCAAAGACAGACATCCTCTGGCTTCCCTAATGCCAAATGCCACTTGTCATAAGGACTGGATAGGTGCTAAGAAGTGATGCCAATGCTTGGAGGATATCAGGCAAATGGGATACAAAGGACACTCAGGAGACACATAAATCACCATTAATTCATTCAAAAACTGCATTGTCCATATAATCTATCCTGCTCAGGCAGGCTTATGTGTAATTATACTGTAGTCTGTATGTTACTTATGATTGCAAATGCATTATAAAAAAAATGGAAACATCTTTCCGACATCTGACAATTCCTTCTTCCGATTTCCTTCCTCTTAGGGACACCCTTCACCCGAGAAGTTGTCTCTTGAATAGATGACAGGCCAAAGTCAACAGCTACTGTATTCCCAGCACATAAGTGCCTGTTGAGACAGTCTCTGTCAGGAGTAAAGACAGCAACCTAACATGTATTTTTTTTCAATCAAGACATGTTTCATTGGCCTTATCAAACAATAGCCATTTATTCTTTCCCAAGCTCCTACAATAAGAATTCTTGGTTTTTATATAATTCACACTATTGGTTCAATGGGGAGTAAACTTGGGTAGCGCAGGAGTGAAATGCTGCCCGAGTAGATCATAACTGTTCTGAAACCACAGTTCTGAAATACTCCATAACTCGTCTTTATTTTGTAAATGTCAAAATCCTAACCATTGTTCTGTGAGCCCTTCCCACCAAGTATCCTAACTTAGCTGAGCAAGACTATCCCTATATATGTGACACCATTTGTTATGCTTCAAATTGACATCTGCTGCCACACTGGCATTGCTCATCCTTGCATGTATTCTGATGGAGTTTTATCTACTAGAGCCATGAGGCTCCATCTATGTCTTCTTTCTTCCATTCCAAAGCCCACTGGAAAAAAAATGACCTGCACCATTCAGATAAGCTGGAGCCAAAACAACAGTAAACAAAACAAGCAAATGCTGCTGTTGCCAAGAGCGTTCTTGTTAACATGGGTAAATTTAGCCAAAAGTGAGATAGCTTTGGCAGCAAAAATTGTAGTGCTCTGACTAAAGAAAGCATCACTGTGTTTGAGTAATCTGCGAGGAGTCCCTTTTCTCTTCTTGCTAATAGCAGTGCAAGCATACTAGAAATGAAACAGCTAGCTGTTTACAAAATTAATTGAATGTAGCGGTTGTGGGTTTTTCGGGCTGTTTGGCTGTGTTCTGAAGGTACTGAACATGGCCAAACAGCCCGAAAAACCCACAACGACCATCGGATGCCATCCGCAAAAGACTTCAAGAACAAATCAATTGAATGTAGTTTGTTTACCAAACAAATACCCAGTTGTGTGAATTCACAGAGTACCACTTGAAGAACTATCTTTACAGGTAAGTAACCTGCCTTGTTTTTTTAAGTGGAGAAGTGCACATTGTGGGACTGCCCCCCCCCGAGCTATGAGAGTTTTATCTCTACCACTCAGAAAGGTGTGGATTCCCTACCCACAGCTCACCTGTGGACTGAGGCACTGGTGAGGGGTAGTTAGACAGCACCGTCAAGGCTGCAGGTCTGGACATGGTGGGACTTGGACTTAAGAAGCTAAAATGGCTAAACTGGAACTGTTGCATTTTTTACTTTGTGGAAAGACGATAATGCCAGGAGAAGATGAAAATATTATGAAAAGAGGAAGAAGACTCAACATGAGCGGGATTGAATTTCATGGCCTTTGATTTGTAAAACCT